ATAAATTCATTTTGACAGAAAGCCCAACTACTAGGGCAGAAGGAACTGTTTTTTCCTAGTTAAGGTACAAAAAAGAGCTTGTGGAGGCAATTAATCATTTGCCATCAACATAAAATTTTAGAAACTGCTCGTGTGCATTACTCTCTTTACCAAAAATACATATTACTTTGGGTAGTCGAGAGAACGGGTAATGCAAATTCCTTCGTAAAATGGGGAGGGTCAAGTTCTCCTTCCCCACCCTTTCCTTACCTCTCCCCACAAGAATTCAAGCTACAACATCAGTCGAATCTCGTTTCTGATTTTACTGCAGTAATTAAAGGATTAGCATAAATCCACTAAGTGACGCTTTGGGCGGATTGATGCTGTTAAAATGCACAGGTTTTGTGTCTACATTTGCATTATAGGCCAGCATTCCTTGAGGAGCTACTTTGGTGGCAGGGCATTGCACCGGCCAGTAAATGGGGTCCACCAAACCCCATATTAGGGGATTCAGTTATCTCAACATGAATACAGGTTTCTTTTTTTTGAATCCACAATGACCACATAACCTAGGAATTATGTAGTCATTTAAACTACCTGTCAATCACTGACAGGAAGATGTCCCCGCTGACACTGGTTCACAGATCGGATTCACCTTTATGATTTGTTTGGGTGCAGGAGATACCTTGCAATCTATTCCTCATCACATAGGACAACAAATGAGCGCCCACTCTTCAAAACCACATTCACTCTTCTGGATACTACTGGATCATTTAGCCATGAAATTTGTTGAAATGATTGTTTACTTTACATTTTGGCACAGATACAACCCCACCCCTGGTTGACCACTGGTCAGCATAAAACCCTGTTAATCATTACCACAAGATAAGGGACATGAGTTTCACAAAAGTATTTTTACTTTTATTTGCAACCCACTCAGTTCCTAAGTAATTAAGTAAATTTTTTCCTATTTTATCCCCTTCTGAACAACTTAAGACGAGTTATGTTGTAAGCTTAAAGTGAGGAAAGTAGAGAACTGCCACATTATTTGTAAAAACCTAGTTTTTCCCAATCTTTTTTGAATTTTAGGCATGATTATGAACAAAATAACTAAATCTTCTATTTGTACACAAAAAATATACCCACCCTACTAAAATTGGGCTTTAGGCAACTCTATGAGGATCAAGACAAACGCATTAAACCCTGGAAGACATTTTGCCAAACACCACCAAAAAAACAAAGAAATGTCCCTCCTCTTAGTTTGTCTACTTTAATTTCATCCTCTTTTTTTTATTTTTTAAAGCATTTGTAATAAGAACGGATCATCCCAGATTTAACAGCTTTATCTATAACTTGGGTGTTATAGAAAGCATAATTATCAACAAAATAATTAAATCATCTCTTTGCACGCAAAAAATATACCCGCCCTCCCAAAATTGGGCTTTAAGCAACCCCATGAGGTGGTGGTTTGCGTCCGCTCAGGGTCAAGGCATACGCATCAAACCATGGAAGACATTTTGTCAAGCGCCAAAAAATAAGGATAAGTCTCTCCTGCCAGTTTATCCATTTTAGTTTTGTCATCACTTTCTCCATTCTTAAAAGCATAAGCGACGGGAACGAATTATCGCAGATTTCACTGTCTTGTCTATAACTTGCGTGTTGTAGAAAGCTTGTTTTGTCCACTCAAACGGTGATCAAGATGCTTAGTTGTAAGGAAATGTACTTTAAGTTAGACATTGGTTGGAAAAAAGGTTCTTTTGTCACACAGCCTGTAACTTCATCTACAGGTGAGGGCTCTTGAATGTGTGGGGGGGGGAAGGAAATGTGTCCCGTTTTCTCAATATCCTTCTGTCTGGTGTCATGTGTCTTCACCCGCAAGTGTTTCTACCTTGATAAAAGGTTGGCCACCCAAAAGTAAACTAATAAAAACTGAAAAACTGTGGAGTAAAAAGGAGTCAACCTTGTCGGAAAACAACTGTAAGTGTAGGAGGACTTTTGGACTTCCACTTTTTAAGTTAATTCTACGGCCTTGAATAACAAATGCCTGTTCTCCCTTCGGTTCGTTTATTGCCCAACGCAGCTGAAGAGGACACAAAGCTGAGATTTTAAGTATTTCCACGAAAATACCTTTTTTGCTAAGCAAATGGCTCTACAGTAATTTAGGTTTCAATCAAAGCATTCATTTTGTGCGATGCGATAACATCGAAGTGAGACTTAAGCCACACACATTTAACTAACAGGCCTTGACGGACTTAACATCTCAATTATTCACAGTAAATATTTTGATCACCTAAAGTAAAGATTTAGCGATGCCCTAATAATTCTTAACGTAAAATGTTAAAGCGATTTTTTGTATCCACAAGGCATCAATTGGCCCATCGCTTCAAGGTGCATTCAGAGAGAGGGAGCGGGAACATCATTCTTTTAGTGAGTACCTCCATCAGAATTCCACCCACAAAAATTACTTCCAGTAGCCACCGAGAAGTTGGCAGGCGCAATCAGCATAAAATGAATAAAGTAGACAAAATAAAAAGAATCTTAACATCCATTACACGTTGATTACTCTGAACGACTTACAGGGCAAGTAATTGCCGATCCTCTTCTGGGGGTCAACATAAAGTGAGTGAGTAACAGCCCTTTTTAAGTTAAGATTTTTAATAAGTTTAGGGCAGCTTTTTTTAGTCAAAGCAAACTCAATAAAAACAATTTTGATATTTACTAGGGTAGATGGTAGCCCTAGCCGTAGAATGCTTATCAGCTGAGCATTTCCAAGCTTTTCTCTGGTCGTGATGGCACAAATTCTAAACATGGTTGTGGTTTTTGTCGGGTACGGCCCTACTTTTCTAACTTTCACCTAAAAACTACATAGAAATATTTCCGATTTGCCAGATTAATTATTCAGAATGGCAATGATTTTTACCTTAATCATATTTTTGAGCTGGCTACTTTTGCCGTTCATCCCCACTCTCAAGGTAGAAGTCAGTGATGTATAAAATAAGTTGACCTGTCTGGTAAGGACATTTCGCAGTGCTCGAAGATTATATTGCATAGCAGGTATGACCAACATCTGTGTTACATTCTCGCTAAATTCTACTTTAGGGTATTCAGTGACCTAGAGCTCACAATTGATTGGCATTGACATGTCATTTTAAAGCCTTTCAGGGATATATGGCCCCTGTGCTGGTGGAATTGAAGCCAGTCCTTAGTTTTACATCTAACTACAAGGATCCTCTGTAAAATTTGCGAATCCCTGTCAAATGTTTTTATCCAACAGCTCGAAAAAGGAGGCCTTTTGAATACATGCCCTCACCCTCCACGAGAGCGCAAATTTTGGCCACCTTCAAAGTGCACACTGGTTTAGCGTCCCTTTCACTAAGGCATTCTGGGTTTTGATCCAATTATTTCGCCTTAAGGCCCAATATCCCCAGGGGTTATAACAGATCCACATTTAAAATGGCTCCAATCCTCTTAAATTCACTACAGGCCTCAAATTTGTCGTTTGGCAACTTCTCTCGTCCGTTTGCAAAGGCATTCTAGGGAACCCTGGGCACCCTTACACGTGAAATGTCACGTCTTGTTGCACATCACATACTAGGTCCATTCTACTCACACGAGCGCGTTAACTAAGTCTTAACATTGGAAAACAGCCTACTTTACCTTAATGGAGGATTGACGGACAGGTGCTAACACTTACGGCAGAAGCAAAATGAATGATACCCTGCCTTTACCGGCCCCTAGTTTAATCACCACTCAAAAGTGGGAAAATTTTGGTGGCAGCATGGACAGCATGATGTTAGTTTTAACCGATCCGTGAATCTCAGCAACACTCCTCCTTCCCTTGCTAGACTACGCATGGTGTTTGCTGTCTGGTATAGGGTGAACTTACTTTCGCTTTTTCGTGGTATCAAAGTGTAAAAGAATAAGTCATTCCTTCAAAGGGTTGGTCAATGGACCCCAGGTGTCATGAACGAGAGAGGTGGGATGCTCGGAATGTGCTGTTTATTATTGGAGTCATCTTGTTTTGCACAGTCACTAGGCAGGTCCATGGAGTGTGCAGCACCAGACACCTCGAGCAATTCTAGCTTGCGCAATGTCAACAACAACACCGACGACGATAACTTCTAGCTCACAGCATACCACATTAATTCCACCCCCACCGTACCAGAAATCGAAGGTTTCAAGACTAGCATTATGAACAGGGTATGGAGATGATATTTATGCTTCTTCAGAGAACACTCCCTCCTCCTCTTCCTCGGGGTAGATGTCTTCAGCTCCGCAAGGAGTTCATGTTTCCTGACTGCCTTTAGCTTAACAGACGCATTCTAACAGGCATGCATAACAACCGCAAGTTAAATGTCATTTGTAGTTAAATTGCATTATGCAAGAAATTTGTAAGCAGTAATTTTGCCTGCAGTGCATCAAACCTTGCACGTCTATGGTCCTCCAGAGGCAAAGTACCTCGATTCTTTGGTTCGTAAGGCAGTTTTGATGATATGTGAATCAAAATAAGGCATTGACGAAGGATATGATGGTTTACCTGAAGGCCACTTCCTATTATGGGTCTTTTTGTCAGCAAATGAATTATAATTAAAGCATTTTGCAAGGTAAGCGGAAAGTTCAGGGAAAAATTTTGATAGATTTGTAGTTTTTTGGCCGTCATTTGTTCTTCAGACTATTTTGGCAGTCTCCACTCCTCTAACTCCCACCACTTCCACTGCCCACGCGCTTGGTGTAGATGAGAAACAGCCACTTACGAAGCTGTCATTGTCGATTAAATCAATCAGTGGCGACAAGCCACTGTCCGGATTTTGAAAAGCGGTGCCACAAATAGACGGTAAGTCCTTTTGTCATATGCAAGAGATGCTCAAGTATTTCAGACACTGGCAAAGGAGGTGGTAAAGGGTCAAAGGTCATTGCATCCTTTGTTAAGGCTCCTGACAAGTAGGTCTCAGTCACCTCAATCAGTAGCGATATGCTATTGTCCAGATTTTGAAAGTTCGGGTGATAAATGGCAGGCACACTTTATCGTCTTATGCGAGAACTGCTGTCATATTTAATACAGACAGGCAAAGTGGGTGGTTGAAGGGCACTAGGTCATTGCGTCTTCTCTTAAGGCGGTGTCTTGAAGCCAAATCTGCCCGCTTAATGCATCTCACCATCAGCGCGAACGCCAGTCAGAAAACTACTGCTCTTCGACGTGGACAAGAAGTCAACTTCTAGCACTCAAGGCACCCTTTTTCCGCTTTGCAGTTGCCGCGACCCACCATGGCACTAGATTGTCCAGTCTGCTTCTGGCGCTTCAGGTACCATTGCCAACTTCAGGCTCATTTTGTACCATGATCTTCATTCATCCAGTTGATTCACTTCAGCGATTGGATTGTTATCAAGAACCAACTTAGGCAGGGTTTTTATAAAAAAGCATCCCTATTGTGCCTTGCTAGAATTGGGACGATTCACGTGCGTTCCTTGCCGAACCAGCTACCGGGCCTTTTCCTGCCTCCAAAGCCATAGGAATATTTGTCAGAATGGAAACTTAAATCATATTTTTGGTTTTGATTAAAGACTTTGTTTTTTTTTTTGCTTTTTTTTACATTTTTGCCTTGTCTAGAAATACAATTCAAAGCCTAAGCGTCATATCAACCTGTAAATTGGATAAATTAGTCACATCTCAGCTTTCATGACACCAACGATATCAAATCTCCTCCAGAACAGACTTTGTACCTTTTTAGGGTCAACGACTTGCCTGAATGAAAGGTCTACATTGAGATGCTACTTCTTCTGTCTAGTTGTGGAGTCACAGCAAATGGGTGGGTTGATCTCGCCTTAGGAAGCAATTGCAGTTGATTGAGTAAAAACTCACAATATTTCTTGGCAGAGTTTCAGCTTGCTTCCTTTACACCCGGATTCCCTCCTGTCCCAGTAGTACTGGCATTTGGTTAGCAATCGCTTAGTTTTCTTCTTTTTCCCAGATACTTATGGCGTTTTCCCTTGCCCTCTTTTAGCACGACTTGACATGCCTGTTTGTGTACATTGCGGTCGATCTGACTGTGCAAGGATTTTTCTGGCCGGGATCATGGAAAGTGAGTTAGCTCCTTCACTTAGCCGACTATGGTCCAACAAAATGCTAATCGTTGATGCCTCCTTGTACAACAGCAATGAGTTGACTTTTTTTGCTTTACAGATGACTGTTCCTCGGTGAACGTGGATTCAACACCGCCACACCTAGTTCAGCCTGCTGTGCACTGTTGTCCAGGCATTTCGACAGGGTACGAGGGTAGCAGAAGGTGAAGTCCAAGGGTGCAAGGATGGGCTCTGCCAAATCGACATTTTAAAGGATGGCAGAATAAAATGGGATTACAATGGTTTGTTCCCAAAAAGGATTACATGTGGAATCTAAAGTGTCATTTTGATATTGTTTTGGAGCTGGAATAGGGGTGTGTTTCTTAGTTTATAATGTGAAGGAAGGAAAAGCAAGTCTATCATCGCCTCTATGAGAGGTTTAGATTTGTGCCTTAATTTTAACACACCATGATGGCGGTTAAAGCGCGCACCTACCATCCTGTGATGTAAATAGAAGAGCAACTAAACTGATTCGTTACAGGCCTCAATTTCGTCACCTGGTAAGTCCTTGTGCCTGCCCACATAGACACCTTTAAGGAGCTATGAAAAATTCATTACTCGCAAAATTGCAGGTCATGCTTTGGTCTCGTACGTACTTAGATCAGGAAGAGGTTCTTACCATCGCCCAATGAGTTGATTTCCGCCTGCAAAGAGGTCTTTTATCACTTTTCATCAAATCATTGCCCATTCACACAACCTAAGATTAATTGTGGGTGAATTGCTGTTGGATATAAGCTAAACCTACTTTTTTACTTATGTAGGAATTCCAACTTGTTCCTCCAGAGCCACTTTGAACACCACTTTTGGGTACTGAGATGCATGTAATGGATTGCTTTCCTGTATTCTTTTAATGTTTTTGACATGAAAATGCCACTGTTTTGCTGATTGAAAGCTTTTTGATTAATAAGTACTTGACCACAAGGCAGTGAATGGTTTAAACTGGCGCTAGTGTGTGAGAAATAACCTTCTATAGACTGACCAAAAGTCCCACCTGTTTCTTTACACAGAGGAACTCCTTTAGTGAGCACTTCAGTTGTATCAAGCAGATAGGTCTCCATTGTATTTGCACTACGCACAACACGAAATCCGTAAATACTACATCTTCTGCAGTGCTTCAAAGCCCAAACAGGCATGACCATTCAAAGACGGCATGCCTTGCTTCTTAGAGGTGTGGGTCGTGTAGGCAATGTGTGGATTATTATATAAAAGCAACGAACCACAGAGTCATTTACTTAACCAACGTACGAGTCCCTCTGAAACAAAAAGCGTTTTACAGCGTTTGCAGAGGGTCTGCGGTACAAGTTCGCAGATTTTGTAGCCTTTCCTGTGGCATCTCTTAATTTTATGGCACTTAAACAAACACTCCATTTGTCTAACTTCCGCGGCTTTCCCTGCCCACCCACTTGGTGTGAATAAAGACCAACTGTTTCATCATTTATACCGAAAAATCACCCTTTATTTATTTTTATGGCAAGTCAATTTCTGCATATCTCGGAAGTGGCATATCATTGTCCGAATTTTGAAAATCGGGACGATAAATAGAGGACAAGTGTTTTGTGATGTATGCAGGAGATGATCAGTTAATTTAGGTAGACGAACAAAGCAGGCGGCTGAGAGGTCATCGCACTCTATCTCGAAATGGTGGCTTTGAAGCCATTTCAACTGCTCGTCTTAGTTCACTCCACCAACAGCACGAACGCCGGTCTGAGATCTACGCTCTGCAAGGAGGACGGGAAGTCGACTTAACACACTCGAATCACCACTTCTGCTCTCTTCTCTTGCAGCAACACATTATGGCACTGGTTTGTCCCATCTGCTCCCAGCGCTTCAGGTACCATCATCAACTTCGCACTCATTTTGAAGCAGCGCACACAGGCACGTATATTCAAATATCCTCCACCATGACCCTCCTTCATTTGACCTTCCATGTCAGCATGTTCACTACATAGTTTCCTTTAGAGGTATGTCTATTCCTTATTGCCAGAATTGGGACGATTCGCGTGCAACTCCTGCAGATGCAGCTACCGATTCCTTTCTTGCCTACAAAATCACAGGAATATCTGGCACAATGGTAAGTCAACTCAATATTTTATTTTTGGATAAAGGCCTTCAGTTCTTGAAGCAGTATATAAGATTCACTTAAGTTGGAAAGTTTAAGCACAAATCCAAATGGTTTATTGTCTGTAGGATGGAGAGCTTGCACAGAGAATCTTGTTCCCTTTTAGGGCCGCCGACTTGCTTGAATGAAAGGTCTCTGCTGATAGACTACTTCTTCAGTCTGGCTGTGGAGTCACAGCAAATGGGTGGGTTGATCTCGCCTTACCCTAAAATGGCATCTAACCGAGTGATGTCTCACAATATTTCTTTACAGAATTTCAGCTAACCTCTTTTATACCCGAGTTCTCCCCTCCCTCAGCTGTACTAAAATTTAGTACGTAAACTTAAATCTATTCATTTGTTTGGAAAAAGACTTTCCCTTGTGGGTACCTATGATATGCTTTCTCTTCCCTTTCAGCACCACTTGATGTGCCTGGATGCGAAAATTGTGATGTATTTTACTGTGCGAGAATGTTTTTGTCGGATATCAAAGAAGGTAAGTTTGAACATTTTTTAAGCCTGCTATGGTGCAGTGAGATGCAAATTTTTGACTTCTTCTGGTACAGCAGTAATGGGGTGGCTTTTTTCCTCTGCAGGCGATGGTACCTCGGTGCGCATTGATTCAACAACGCCGTCCCTACTGCAGCCCGCTGTGCACCATTTCCCATTCATCTCGCCAAGGCATGGAAAGAGCAGACAGTGAGGTGCAACAGTGCAGGGCTAGGAAAAGTGTTTTATTTCTTCGTCAAACCAATTTTAGACATTATGTTTCTTAGTCCCTATTAAAAGAGAAGAAAGAGGACTGTTTGTAATCTTCTTCTTTGAGTGGGAGGTGTATATAAACGCATCGTGTTGGTAGTTAAGGCAAAATCCCAGTATTCTAAGATGCAAATCACGGAGCTTACATTTAAAGAATGCTTTATGATGATATGGGAGTTAGTTTCGTTGATAATGAGTTGAAAAATACCATTATAGTTGCAAATATGTGGATAGGGGTTAAGAGCAATGAGATCCAAAGCATTGCTCTCCTCTCAGAAGGAAATGCTATGGATTACATAAGGGTGAAGACTGAGTAGAGTAACTGCAGAAGGCCCCGCAAAGCAGGAATGCTGCAAGCCACAGTATTCAGCTGGCTGAGAACTCTTATGTTATTGAAAGGTATCTATTCTAGAAGCAGATGGTCAACCGTGAATCTAGCTACCTCCTTGACCAATGCCAACTTCATTTTTCACCTATCCTGTCCCTTACATGTAACATGGGCTCTTGTGATGCTCTATTGCTTATTTTCAAAGATGGGAACAGTTGACACAAAAAAATAAGATCAAGAGGTATTTGGAGGGCACAATGATGTTAGGGAGCGCTATGCTAGTTCAGGCCAGAGTATAAACCTTCTCACATCAAAATTTGATGGGATGTAGTATGTGGTATGAGGTGCTTCGATGGGTCGTCATATAAGGTAGACTCTCTCCTCCACACCTGTTTTTAGGATTTTACTGTCCTCAAATGAATTTATATTCCATGCTTTCTGTTTGGATCGTATCGCACTTACATGGTCTTCAACAGGGGAGCGGTTCATTGTTAGCATTTGCCTATTTAGCTCGCCACAGACAGATTCATCACTGGGACACAATAACGCAAATACTGTCACAAGAATCTCCGAAGTTTGAGGTAGCGTGGGGCAGTAAATCCTTTGGAGGCAACCAATGTCGTGTTCGATTGCTTAGGATACATTTGAATGCAAAACGCCAGCTTT